TACTGGAGCAAAAAAAAAAAGTTATCCAATACCAACTGGACCTGTGTGAAAATCTATTTGCCCCCAATAGTTAGTAATTCCCCAAATCTATGAAATTGCATTCATAATGGGGTTCAGCTGGACTAGACACAACCAGGCCTGATTACTGCAAACCCTGTTCAATCACATCAACACTTAAATAGAACTTTTTCAACAGCATGAAGTTGGTTAAAAGGTCTTACCCAGTAACACACTATGCCAAAGAAGGTGATTTAAATACATAAGTCTGGGAAGGCTTACAAAGTTATTTCAAAGGCTCTGGAATGCCAAAAACCACAGTGACAGCCATTATCTCCAAATAGAAAAACTCGGCACAGTAGTGAACCTTCCCAGAAATGGCCGACCTTCCAAAATTCCTCCAAGAGCACAGCAACGACTCATCCAGCAAGTCACAAAAGAGCCAAGGACTACATCAAAGGACCAACAGGCCTCTCTTGCATTAATAAACGTCATTGTTCATGACTCCACTATCAGAAAAGACACTGGGCAAAAATGCCATCTATGGAAGAGTACTGAGGTGAAAACCAAAGCTAACCAAGAAGAACATTAAGGCCCATCTGAATTTTGCCAAAAGACACCTTGATGATCCTCCAACATTTCGGGAGAATGTTCTTCAGATTGATGAGTTGAAAGTGGAACTGTTTAGAAGACAGGGGTCCCGTTACATCTGGCATAAACCAAACTCAAAATTCCACAAAAAGAACAACATAACAGTGGACAAGCATGGTGGTGGAAGTGTGATGGTGTGGGGATGCTTTGCTGCTTCAGGGCCTGGGCACCTTGCAATAATTTAGGGAAACATGAATTCTGCTCTTTACCAGAAAATCCTAAAGGAGAATATCTGGTCTTCAGTTCATTAATTGAAACTCAACCGCATCTGGATTATGCAGCAAGATAATGATCCAAAGCATAGGAGTAATCCACCTCTGAATGACTCAAAAAAAGCTAAATTAAAGTTTTTGAGTGGCCTAGTCAAAATTTTGAGATGCTGTGGCAGGACCTTACATGAAAGTTCATGCTCAAAAACCCTCAACTGTGGCATTTCTGCAGAGAAGAGTGGGCCAAAATTCCACTCCAGCACTGTAAACGTCTGATCTCCAGTTATAGGAAGCGTTTGGTTGCAGATATTACTGCTAAAGGTGGCACAACCAGATTCTATGTTTAAGGGGGCAATTAGTTTTTCATATGAGTGATAGGTGTTTTTTTTTTTGCTTCAATAAATCTATTATTATTATATACATTTTTTACTATATTGTGTGTTTACTCAGGTTTTATTTTATGTATTTATTTATTTTTGTAGATCTACAACTATTTAGTATGAGATATACAGAAAAACTGAAGAAATAAGAATTGGACAAATACTTTTTCACAGCATTGTACTCAGACATTAACACTTCTATTTTCATTTTATTCATTTTTAATTGTGCAAATGAATAAAGGCCATACCAGTAATATCCAGAATACATTTCACCTCATGTCAAGAATTATGTAAAAGACCTTCATGGGTATTCAAAGGTAATATTATTTTGCAACTCATTCCCTTTCTAGGAAGCATAAAAAGAGAAAGCCGTTTTACCAAGCCCTGAAAGTACTCTGGGAACATTTAAATGAATTTGGGAAGTAGATCTAGTACTATAATTGCTAATACGATAGGACAAAAGACTGGAGATATAAATAGGTCATTTGCCTAACAATGTCTTGGCAATGAATTATAACATGTGGTTTTTTTTCATTGGTAGAAAGAGGACCATCCATATAATATGCAATGTTGAGTATGTGAACCTGTATTTGTTACAAAGCATAATGCAGCATGAATACCAGTCCTCACACCTAACCCTAAAAATGTCAGGATATATGAATATAGTAAATGAATATGCGATTTGGAAATTCCTCAATGTCTTCCTGCCTTCACAAGTAACTAGTATGTGAGAATGTGTGTGTGCATGCTGAGCTGCGATCGACTGGCATCCTATCGAGGGTGTATTCCCACCTCAAGCCCAATTTCTCTCTAGTTTATCGTGCAGATTCTGCAGCAAAAATGTTCTGGTTTCTATTTCCTCAAACTGAGCTCATGTGTAAATGAGAAAGTCTCCATTTTAAGTGGAAAAATATGAATTTTACAGGGGATTTTCTTCCTGCGCCAGGGCATGTGCATATCACTAAAAGTATCTCTCATGCAAGGAACATTAGAAGAAAAGTCTGATTGTTCTCCCATCTAAGGACATACACAATATTTTCAGACTGGCGCCTGGCCATACTGGAAAAAAGGAAGTGTTTTTTGGGGGAGACTGAGTTCCTCCATTTTGGTCTCATCTGACCACAACACTTTCACCCAGTTGTCCTCTGGTGGTCAGATGAGACCAAAATGGAGCTCTTTGGCATCAACTCAACTGGCCGTGTTTGGAGGAGGAGGAACGCTGCCTATGACCCCAAGAACACAGGACAACTTCATCAAAGGGAATATGGACGGGGCCATGTACCGTCAAATCTTGGGTGAGAACCTCCTTCCCTCAGCCAGGGCATTGAAAATGAAAAGTAATTACTAAGTCATTACCAAGTACTAAGTCATGTTTTGCAGAGGGGTCAAATACTTATTTCACTCATTAAAATGCAAATCAATTTATAACATTTTTTACGCATTTTTCTGGATTTTTTTGTTGTTATTTTACACTGTTCAAATAAACCTACCATTAAAATTATAGACTGATCATTTCTTTGTCAGTGGGCAAACGTACAAAATCAGCAGGGGATCAAATACTTTTTTCCCCCGCTGTATGTATTATTGAATTGAACTTTTGATTTGCATACAATAATGGTGTAAAAAGTATACACAATAACTATTCTCTTACCATTCTGAATATATGTTAACACAACTTTTATTGCGTGCAAGCCAATAAGGGGGCAGTCCACATGAGAGTGCATCTCATAGCCCCCCACCCCCCTCCGCATTAGTATCCCATACTGTCCAGTGTACCTATTCTATTAGGTAGATAAACATGCATGGGAAATTACAGGAGCAATAAGCCCATTGCACAGATGAGTAATAGTACGTAATGCCAGTTCTAGAGCTGACTATATTTTGCTCCTACCTTTGAGTAAAGGCAGTGGGGAAACTGGTGAACTTTAGGAGTTTGGCTCAAGCTGTGATTGGCATTTAGTTGTCATGGTAACTAACAGTAGTACCCAGCTGCTCATGTAATGCCAGCTCATCACAAACTGGGTGACTTCTAAGCATAACCAAGATCTTGCTGTCTTCTTTTGAACATTTGACAATATGATGTTAATTAACTAAAGGTGTCATACATGAAAGCACTGCTTAGTAATGCTAAAATATGATTGCTTGATTGGCAGATGTTTGATTCCTAGCTGTGCCATGCATCATTCATGGGTTGAGGTCTCTAAGGAGGGAAAGTGAGCGCAATGGAGCATGTGTTCTTTACTTAACAGTGTGAGTACAAGTAGTTAGATGGCAAGAATTTGTAGACGCTGCCTACTTGGATTGTTCATATTGTTGAAATGGAGGAGTGATCTGTATCATGCCCCCAGGACATTACACCACCACGCCAGCAGAGGTCCCTCTCTGGTAAATAGTATAGATTTTCTTCCACACTCATAGATACCTGTTCACTTTATGGTGTAGCAAATACAAGCACATGATGTCACAAACACTCTTTGGGAAGGCTTGCCGACTACCTAGTGTGTGTCCCGAGCCTTGTTATTTCTGACTGTGCTCTTTATACCAGCCTGTGTTTTGGAGTATAACTTATAGTACTATTTTGACCTTGTTGTGACCATGATTTTGGACTTTGAACTGTGGATTATGTTCTGGAATTGATCATTAACATGCTCAAAAGTCCTCAACACTCTCCTAAATCCACTCTATTACATCACCATTTACACATTTTCTCTCAGGTTTTTCAGAGTGCTGGCAACAGACTCTCTCACAAGGAACTTTTTTTTTTCTTTTTTACCAGACTTCTATCTTTCTCCTTTCTTAGTTTTTTCCCCCCACTCCCTCGCTCCTTCTTCCATTATCCTACAATAACTCTGCCCCTCCCTTTCCCTACACTTAACTCTGTGTGACTTTTCCTTCTCATGGCCATATGAATGTCTTTATTGCCTACCCTCTGCTTTAAACTGTGCTCTAAAGGCTCTGCGGGCTTCCTCTTTGATTGGGTTACTAGAGGATAAAATTGGCTCCTAACAGTACCCCTACAGCCTGGAGATGACCTAATCCAGCCAGACCCACTGGGTGGCAGGAGGCACCTCATCCTTTCTGCAATTTCATGCCTGCTTTGCACCTGCCACTTTCTAACTTCTAACCTATCAACAGGCCTTGATAAAACAAATCCTGTTCTGGCCACTCTGGAGTCATCCACTCAAACTCACGAACGTCCACTTGGAAGTCGCTGGCCTTAAAATGTAGAAAAACAAGACTGTTTGTTATTCATTTCAGGGCACAAAGAAGGAGACATTTGTCACTACATTCAGATCCTTGTTCTTCAGCAGCTGTATTCACAAAAGAGCTCCCAACTGACAATTTAAGAGAAAGGTGTGCTATAGCTTTATGGCTGATAATGTTCTTCACTCTGAGAGTAATTCAAAAATCATGTTGAGACTGAAAGTATCTCTTTCAGTGATAGATTGGGGTAGTCCAGGGGGCTGTATTCACAAAGAGGGGTATATTCATGAAGAATCTTATCACTAAGATGTCTCTTAATTGGCATTAAAAAGTAAGAGTTTATCAAAACAGCGAAACATAATCATTCGCCTATAGGCTTTGTGTGTATCAATGCAGGATTTGTATCTTGATGTACATTTATTTATAGAATCAATATGCACTTTCCTTATGTAACAGACTACACGATACACTGTGGTGTATACAAGAAAATATATGACATTTTTCTTTTTCTTTCCATGTACTCTGAAATCAACACTTTCATTTTTATTTTATTATTTTTTAAATTGTGGGCTTAGTGGTTAACGTGTTTGCCTCACACCTCCAGGGTCGGGGGTTCGATTCCCGCCAGGGTCATGTGTGTGTGGAGTTTGCATGTTCTCCCCGTGCTGCGGGGGTTTCCTCCGGGTACTCCGGTTTCCTCCCCCAGTCCAAACACATGCATGGTAGGCTGATTGGCGTGTCTAAAGTGTCCGTAGTGTATGAATGGGTGTGTGAGTGTGTATAAGGTTGTGCCCTGCAAGGGCGTACTCTGCCTTGTACCCTATGCTTCCTGGGATATGCTCCAGATTCCCTGTGACCCGGTATCATAAGTGGTATAGAAAATGGTTGGTTGGATGGATGGATTATTTTTAATTGTGCGGATGGGTTTTCATTTATGATGTTTATAGTGAAGACCTCTACATCAAAAATGCTGTCACCTATAGCAATGACTAAATTGTTAACAGCGTTGAGAGGGCATTTATTGTTTCATTTGATGATATTTGTATTTTGTTTTTGTTGCATAACTTCAATTCCATTTAATATCCATATTAATACTTCTGGCAAAGTACTACTAGCAAAGTCATCACTTTGTGACATTGTGTGCAGCTTATAAATGGTCCCCGCTATGTCATGTTTGTCCTCTTTCCTGTTAGCATTTTGTTGAGGAGCTGAGGAAGTAGGTTCAAGACACTGACAATAGTGCTCTAATCTTTGATTTTCTTTTAATTATTATTATTAATCTGCCCTGTCAGAGAGAGAGTGTGTTGAGGCACATTTCTAAAAATCGATTTATTTTGCCATGATTGACTTTGCTGCTGAACACGACATGGGGTCTATTGTTTGTGCTGGCGTGTAGCAGCCTGGATGCTGTGGATGCAGCATATTTCATTTTTTTCAATCTTTTAAAGGTCCATTAAGTTTTAGCTTGTATGAATTCTTTGTCAACTTTCCCAATCTTTGAGTATTTCAGGGCAGGACAGTATTCTGTTTGTTCTGCCAAGCCCTGATGGTCTTGGACGATGGTCAACTCAGTGATCAATACCCATTTGCAACAAGCACTGATGGAGACCTTCCCTAGCTGCCGCATAATACTGATAGTGATATGCAGAGCTTCCCTCTCTGCTATATCTATTCATACTACTGTATATTCATCACCTTTCTCTGACTCTGTGCGGCAGCTGAAAGGTGTGAAAATGAACAGCACGTACAGCTGCAGAGCCCTCTAGAAAGAAAAAGAGCTAAGCTCTTTTGCCATGTTGCAGCAGCAGGGACAAAAGCAGGCAGAAGAATCTGCTAAGCAGTCCCATGGAATACCATGAGTGCTTTTACCATGTGTGAAGACAGATTTTGAAGAAGTATGGAACTCCAGGTTGCCTAGTACAGCCACCGGTACACGTTTGAGTTGCTGGGCTATGCCATAATGTACCGATTTCACTGATACCGGTTTAAGAGCATTGTGACTATGTGAAAGAGCAGGTATACTGGCTGAAATGGCTGATGCAGAAACCCTAGGAGTAAGATCAGTGCCTTTGGTAAAGTGGTGTATGTTGTACCAGTAATAAAACGGCACACTTAGTAGTTGAACGATGCAGTGGGCATAAAGGTCTTACAGACAGCATTTCAATCTATGGGAGTCAACAAATCACTGGGTCTGTTAATGCAGAGGAGAAGTTTGATTGGTGCACATGCCATTGTACCATTGCACATGCACTGTAAAGTGCTGTTAAAAACTATTTGCCCCATCCTAATTTCTTCTGTTTTTTTGTGTATGTCTCATAGTAAATTGTTTCAGAAGTTAAAACAAAATCTAAAAACTAAACACAAAATAGTTTTGGAAATGGGCCTGTGTGAAAATGTATTTGCCCCTGTAGTTACTACAGTGTGGGAAATATGTATTAGACATTAGACAATTTTTTCTGTAAATATATTTCCAATGTAGCTATTCAAATTAAATTATCGCCAGACATCCGTATTGACTGAAGAAATGTAAAGAATTCACAACATTAAAGTCCATAAATGATGTGATGTGTAATAAAGTGGAATGACACAGGAAAAAAGTATTGAACACTTCTCACTTCTGAGAAAAAGCAGTTCTCCAGATTATATTTCCAAATTTCTTGAGTTCTGGTGTCTGGTGAAAATTTCATGTGAATCCACGCAACTCCACGAAACCAGGCCTGATTACTACAAACCCTGTTCAATCAAATCAACACTTAAACAGAACTTTCTGAACAGCATGAAGTTGGTTAAAAGGTCTTACCCAGTAACACACTATGCCAAAGTTGAAAGAAATTCCAGAAATGATGAGGAAGAAGGTGATTGAAATACATCAGTCTGGGAAAGGTTACAAAGCTATTTCAAAGGCTGTGGGACTCCAAAAAACCACCGTGACAGCCATTATCTCCAAATAGAAAAACTCGGCACAGCAGTGAACATTCCCAGAAATGGCTGACGTTCCAAAATTCCTCCAAGAGCACAGCAACGACTCATCCAGCAAGCCACAAAAGAGCCAAGGACTACATCAAAGGACCTACAGGCTCGCTTGCATTAATAAAGGTCACTGTTCATGACTCAGAAAGACATTGGTTGATTATCAAAAAAGACACTGGGCAAAAATGTCCTATGTGGAAGAGTGGTGAGGCAAAGCCACTGTTAAACCAGAAGAACATTAAGGCTCTTATGAATTTTGCCAAAACACAGCTTAATGATCCTCAAAACTTTGGGAGAATGTTCTGTGGATTGATGAGTCGAAAGTGGAACTGTTTGGAAGACAGGGGTACCGTTACATCTGGCATAAACCAAACACAGAATTCCAAGTGTGATGGTGTGGGGATGGTTTGCTGCTTCAGGGCCTGGGCAACTTGTAATAATTGAGGGAAACATGAATTCTGCTCTCTACCAGAAAATCCTAAAGTTGAATGTCCGGTCTTCAGTCCGTAAGTTGAAACTCAAGTGCAATTGGATTATGCAACAAGAAAATGATCCAAAGCATAGGAGTAAGTCCTAGTCCTAGAAGTAAGTGAAAGGCTGATTCTCAGTTATCGAAAAAGTTTGGTTGCAGTTATTGCTACTAAAGGTGGCACAACTACATACTAAAGCTTTACCCTTTCTATCCAAATTGACGAACAGAATCTGCTACCTTTTTGATCTGATATTTGATTTAAGTGTCTTCTTAAATGGATTAACAGTCTTCTTAAATTGACTGCTGATCCAATTGCTTCATACAACAGATGTTGCGGGAATAGTGAACAAACCTTAGACACACTCCTATTGCTATGAACCACAAAGTGGAGTCCTCCACTTCCACGTATACAAACTGACGTATCAGTTCAGGGCCCATCCCCTTTGAGTTAGCTTGAGCACCCAGAGTTTTCATAAAATTTGAGAGTCTTGTCCTAGTGCCCCTGCAATGTCTGGGTCTATGCCTACTCCCCTATCTGGACAACTGGCTGCTGTGTGGACAGTTCCAACATCAAGTGATGAGCCAGACAGAGCTCCTGATCTTATGTGGACACTATACTTGCAGGTTATGTGAGCCTTTCTGACAGAATTATAAGGGCAGTCAGGAAATGAGTGGCCATAAACCTCAGTCCATTTCAGTGTTGGATGAATGCCCAATAATTGAGTCGTTGATCCAGTGTGTATGTGCTGCATATGTGCAGACAGGCAGATGTGTTATCTCACAGCTAGCCAATAGCCAGGCATAGGAAAATACACAAGAAGGTGGTTCAGTTAATTTGGAAGACCCACAGCAAATCAGAGGTCAATCTGTTTGTGAACAGACAGCTTACTGCTCAATGTTGCTCATGGACATAGCAGAGACAGGAGCTTTGGCAGTTCTCTAAACCCAGTACCCATCAGACCAGACTTACTATCCTAAATAAACGAGTCACTGTGGCACAACAGAACATCCATTTTGAAAGTGATCTACAGAATACCGGGAACGATCAGACACACTCTTGGAAGAGCATGCTCCATCTATGCCCTGGCTGTAAGCACATAAATGGAAAAGTTTTTCATGACCGTGGAACATAAGCCCCTTATTTTGACCCTAAACAATGTTTGAGTTTTTATAGTTGATTGAAAGAGTATCCTACTGGGTCTACTTTAAAAGTGTACAGTATGTACAGCTTTGGATGTGCACAGGGATCAGATTGATGTTTTATTATTTTTGTTGTTGTTGTTGGGATCCCATAAACTAGTCAGAAGCCAGACAAAACATAAACAAGTAAAGCCAGACAAAAAGCTGAACTGTGTGTGATCTCAACCCCACTCAACACCTTTGGGATGAACTGGAACATGGACTGCACACCAGGACTCCTCAACCAACATTATTGCCCGACCTCACAAATCTAGTGGAAAACCTTCCCAGAAAAGTAGAGGCAGCAAAGGGAGGTCAAACTCTGGAATGGGATGTTCAACAAGCAATATGGATGTGATGTTAGATGTCCACCAACTTTTGTCCATGTAGTCTATCTGCTCTTCTGACTAGCCTGGGTATATTCTCTATGTCCAATGAGGGTTCTGAAGCACCACAAGGAAATAACAGCTAGCAGCTCACTGGCCAACTCTTTGCACCATAATTAACACCGGTCAAAAAGTGTCTTCTTTCATTAAATGCTTTTTGACACACACTATGGCCACCTTTTGGGTGTCACTAAGAGGAGTTTCCCAGCAACATGGAGTTCATTGTCTATTTTTACCATATTTTACTGACTGAATGTCACATCAGTCAAACCCATGTGCTTTATATTGAGGTTTAGTGATCCTTCCCCAATATATTCTCAAGAGTATCAACACATTACGTATTTAAAAAAAAAAATCCTTGACAGAGAGTAGTACCAGAAACCTGGGTAATTCTTATTCTCCATAAAGAACACTATCATACTTAAGTGATGTGTGAAATAGTGCTGCCTATTATGCACATCTTTGATTTCACAGCTTTTGTTACAAGAGCATTTTTATTACAAAATCATAGGTCTGTTCATGTTCAAGCATTTTACAAGCTGATGACTGCTGACAGACCATTTCTTGCATATTTATGAACAATTTCTCATTAGAGGTAAGAGCATAGTGAACAAAGAACACTTTCA